CTTTATAGACCCCCCCACAATCATTTCTGTTGACTTCATTGTCTAAACACAGAGCATCACTGCCATTTATGACATTATTCTTAAAAAATGGCACATTTGTTCATGGAAACTCTAAGATTGAAATTTGATTATTTATAATCACAGAATGGTCTCTAGAAAGTCACATCTTTGTACCCATGTAAATAAACCTATGTAGGACCCACATGAATACCATAATTGGGGTCTAAACTGGTCTTAATCTTCTAGGGCATTTTTCAAGGGAGCAGCTGTGTTTTTAATCACCTTAAACTAGTAAATACACTTGTCACAATTAAATGTCTTGTGCATAATATTGTTAATCACTGAGTATGAGTCACTCCATTAGTCATAGGCAGTTTGTGCTATTCAGGTTTCCCTCCATTAAATTCCACACTACGCTCAGCCAAATGTGCAGCCTGTTCCAGCAAGTGAAGGTAATATACCCAGCATTAGCATGATGCAGTCTGCTGATAGCATTGTGCTCATCATGGCCAATTGACTTTATGGTCTTCTAGGGCTTGCTGAGACTGATAAGACTGAATTCCCATGTCTTTGCTTTTCCACAAACCATTTGGTCGGAGCTCCTGTGAGTTTGGAACGACCTTCTTAACGACCTTGTAAATAAGTCAAAGGGATACAGAACACAAACGCACCCCTAACATATCACGTTTTTATTATCCTGCCTGTCACTAGTGTTGATTCACAAAACACCTGGACCACATTATCATTTTAATGCTTGTGTATGAGAGTACTAAGAGGTATGCAAATCAAAATCATTTGGATCGGAATTCTTAAACCGTCAGGGTACGTTCCTAATAGATTGTACCTATGACACAACAGCAACAATTAAAATTAATCACTTTCAGTTGGTCCAATTTACCACAAGATGTCCTACTAGGTGATATTAAACCTGTAACCTACTGGTGACAGACAGAGGCCTCAGCACTGCCAGAACCACATTATCATTTTAATTAGGGATGAATCGATCTGGTAATCCACATCGGTATTGCTCCATGAAGACTAATTATCTTTGAAAAAAAAACAAAAAAACAACAATAGCTGTACAATCCGTCACCTCAGCCCAAATGCTCAAATTATCTTTGCACAGAATGCCATAAACAGGGAACAGCAAAGGCAACATGTTGGAGCGAAGAAAAAAGGAACCAGAATATTATTGTATCGGCAGATTATTCAATTTGCAGTGTCCGTGTCAGACATGAAAAAGTTGTATCGAGTCATTCCTAATTATAATGCACCTGGATTTCATAAACTATAACATATCAGGGTACTTCCCCTGTAGTTGCAGTACTGTATACCTTTGACAAGAGCTTAATAAACAAGGCTAAAATGTGTGAATGTGAAGAAGTATCCACACGTTGGTTCAGGTCAAAGGTTGACTAGAGAAAACAATGAAGTTGTCATAACTCAGGAAGGAAAGCCTTGCCAAATTCCCCTCCTGTCCAGCAGAAGTACAGTGTGTCAGTAGAAGGTAACTGCATCTAAGTCCAGAAAAGGAGGTGAAGGGGCTGCTGAGCTGCCAAACACTGACCCAGAAATGGAGCCAAGGGAGTCAAAAAGTGAGGGCTGGGTGGTGTTTCTGGACAGACTTCAAACACAACACACAAACACAGTAAGTGAGTCCCTCATCAAAAGAGCTGCAATAAACAATGAACTATATTCTATTCTTTACGGCACGGCCAAATATGTGTCGGTGTGTTAACGCATGTGTATGGGTGTGCCTGAACGTGACTGTGATTGTGTGTGTGTGTCCCTTTGAAGTGACCGTCTGCTGGGGGTTTTTTCTGCTATCAAACATAAACACTCTCTCACACTGACTGTTTGCCCTGCCTTCATACACCACCATTCTAACTCTATGATAACCTCACTCCATGTGTATATTACTTCAGCCATTAATCTTCAGTATAAATTAAGGTTCACGTGAAGGTAGCAGGCAAACACACCATTTTAATGATAAGAACCACCAAATGTCCTACATATAGCCAATCCAAACAGTCGGTGTTTTACTCGCTCCCTGCTCCAGACAATCTCTCCTCCAGACATCCAGAGCAGAGGAATAAAGCAGCCAGAGAGTGACAGGCCCTGCTGAGCCAGGACTGATTCATTAGCCTGGGGACAGCACGGGCAACTCACACCATCAACACTGGGAGATTTACAGCACCCTAGCAGAGGATGGATGGGTCAGGACAAATGGAGCACGGGCTTATAGCAGAAATAAACCACAGTTAAAATTACAAACATGAGAGCAGGGAGGGACCCACGCAGGAAAGCATATTCCCCCATCTTCACTTTTGTTGGAGCTCAAGGAAAAAACACGGTTATTAAATACATAGAGATGCTGCTGAAATACATACAAAAAAACACCCAGTTTAATTTTATAGGAAATAGGCTAATTGTCAAAAAGACAATCAGATACAGCATAGCAGTATTAGTCCAAATTTGACGTATGATTTTGGTAATAAAACCAACCTAACAATTCAGTCAGTTGACCGAATGGAAAATCTCCCATCATGCCATGGTTTCTGCTTCAGAGCCAAAGATAGAGTATAAAAAAGTTAAAAAAAAAAAAGCTTTTACAGTAAATAAAATCTAAAATTTTAATAGAACACATCGTTTAAAAATTCACATAAAATGGGTAATACACACATTACTTTCCCACAAGGAGAGCAGTGAAGAGCATGAGTGACATCACAGTACAGTACAGTACAGTACAGTACAGTCCAGATCTCCATACAGGAAGTGAGAGAGTGGGAGTGTGTGTCAATTAAAAAGTGAGTAAAAGCTGTTTGCCACAGAGTTGTTGAGGCTGGCATAGACTGACAGAGGAGGCCAGGAATGTGACCTTGGACAAACACAGCCACTCCATTCACTAAAATATAGTATAGTTGGCTACCGCTTTGAAGGATAATACCTCTAGAAAAAAGTCCATTTGCTTCTTAATGCCCTTAAAATGCATCAGACTCCAAAGGGAAACCAAGGGATTTTTTTTCACTATGATTAATTTCAGACTTTTGTGGAGGTAAAAAAAAACAGCAATACTAATATGTGGCATTCAGTTTCAGTCACTTATAGGACTGAAACTGAAATTCTAAAAATTAAAAACAAAAAAAATCAAAAAGAAACTACCATCTTTGAAAAAACAATAAAAACTAATGGTTCAGACGGCAGACAGTGAGACAGACAGAAATGATGAGACATCATATTCTCAGGAACTACAGACTGCCCAGTGTCTAAGGGCCCCTCCCATATGGGACCCTGCTGAGGGTACGAAACAATTTCCTCCGTTCACAATATTCCTTTCCTCCGCCTACAACCTGGAATTTCTAACTATGACTCCCTGAATCCGGGCAAAAGGTCGATCTTTAACCATACATTTGTCGGATTCCTATCATTGTGTTCTGTTCATACGTTCCCAGTGGTTTATATTTAGATACGGAAAGAACAGCACGGTGCATGTAACCTCTGTTGGAATCCACAACTTAAATGTAGTGTGAAGCTCTGACAATGCTGTGAACCATGTCAACTGTTTTTTTTTTTTTATTTCGCTCTTTTTCTCTTGTGGACAAATTTATCGTCTACTGCCAGAAATGTCTACCCTATAAAATAAAAAAAAACGTTTGTCACTGAACACAATCTAAATTTTAAGTGTAACAAAAAAAATCCTAGAAAATCTGGGTTTAAAATTATTGGCCATATAATTTAAATTCTGTGACATAACAACATGCAGCAGATGTTCAGGACCAACCACAAAAAATGACAATGACAAATGTGAAATTCTATACCTTTGTCATATTGGAACACTGCGTTCTATTTTGCGTCCCTTCATTCTAGTCCCTAATCAATCTACACGCTCTGTGAAGCCTGGGCTGAAGGCCAACAAAATTGGCTTCTCAACAACAAGTTGACAGTTGTAACTTCACCAACACTGACAACATACGCTCAGCGCCGCAGGGAGGCCATAAAGCGGAGTCGCTGCGGAGGAACTCCTTGTTGTTCACTGGTGTGCTTCCGTTGTCAGGGACACAGTAAAATTAATCATGAATGAGCTGTCTTTCACCGGAGTGCTGCAGCAGCCTGCAGGGCACGTCGTCTGATGTAACATGGTCGTAAATGTACAATTCCCAAGGCCTGAAAATGTGCACATCAGGAGGGAGGTTTGAAGTGTCACAAAGAACACTGAGCATTGTGCTTTTATCAACATCCCCCAAAACTTCCCACCATGACCCCCTCATAGAACATCCCACAGCCTCAGACATGGGAGGCTACACGAGTTGCCCACATCAGGTCAAAAATGGAGAAGGTCATTTTTTTTTGTTAGCACCTTCTGCAATTTTAGACTTGCTGAAAAATTAGACATGAAGGTGGCCGTCTGCCAGTAGATTGGGCTAACATACGAAAACCTGCACCAAAAAGTTTCTGGACATTTCCCATGAAAGGTTTTCAGTGAGTGGCAGTAATTAGAGGAGGGGTGGTGTGAGGTGGACTCCCATCAGACCTTCAGACAGCAGGAAAGACTATAAAGGTCTCACGTCCATCACCAAACAACCCCTGTCTGCTAGTACTGGTGACACAGGGGTGCTTTAATGAACACAGGTCTCCTGCCGACCATCCTGAGGACGGCCTGTCCGTCCATACTGTCATGATGTGTGTCAGAGTGCAGACAGAGAGGTCACCTCTGCAGCAGAGCACGAGGAGACTATGGATTTAGTCTGTTTGTTTCTTTAGACTTTTTAAAAAGTGGATTTGACTGTCGAGACATGACGAATACAAAGTCAAACAATGCAATGTATAAAAAAAAATGAAAGATGGGATTCTTTATTTAGATTAACTTTTCCTTTTCCTCTACCCGGCTAAAAAACATCTGTTTTTCCATTTCTTAAGCTGCGTAATTTATGCAATGATTGAAACTTTTTCACAACTTTAATCTAATCTCCTAAAAGAGTTAAAAGTTTGAACAGACTTACCAGCCTTTTCTTGTTCAGGAATGGAAAGAGGGTTCTGGGGAAAAAAGGGGAGAGGAAAAGTTCAAGGATTGGTTCAGTTATGATTTATTTTGACTTAAATTCTAAATCAAATATGTTTCAATTCTGTCATCACAGATCTGCATGATCAGTCTTGTCCTCTGATAGATGGTACCATGCAGAAATTAGAAAGAAATCAGTAAGAACAAAGTGTCGGAGACTGACTATACAGCACAGCGTTTGCTGGTGTTATTAATCAAATCTCTTTAGGGTTGAATCAAAATGAATCAGTGACTCATTGGAAAAGGTCAAGTTTTCTAATAGTTTTTAGAGTTAGGGTCAAACATTAACTAGTTATGGTAAAGGATAGAGATATATCTCAATACAGAGTTGTGGTTACAAGCGTGAAGTATTTCTCTTGTGGGTGTTTGTGTGTGTGGTAGTAAGCTGGAATGCAGGGGTCAATCTCACCTCTGACCTTTGACCTTAAGATACCTTAATTCAATTTCACACCCAGACCTGTTTTAATCCAAACTGCGGCGGAACAAATCTGACTAAGTGAAGGCAGTGATGTAGCTTGACCAACTTTAACAACAATGTCTTGTGCAGTTCATACAGTTCTTCATTTCAAAGAGTAAGGAATGTGTGTATTCTCACACTTCTATTGTGAATGAAGTGAAATGAAATATATTTTTTACAAATAAAATCCTATAATACATGAAGTGCTTGTGTATTTTTTGTTTATTTTTAAATTTTAAATCACCAGTTTTGGCCCCCGGGCCATATGTTTGACACCCCTGCTGTAGACAGTCTATCTCTATAGGTGACTTACACAGCAGTATCAGTAGAATCAAATTCCTTCATATGGCTTGACAGCCTGGTTAACGTGCTGTAGAAAAAATGCTGTTTATGCTTCAGTGTTTCATTGTGAAAACCAATACGTGTGCACACAGCTCTTTGATCCATTGTCTTTAGGTGATGATCCCGTCGAGATAAAAGCATAGCTTTGAACCTAATTCATTCAGACTCGACCTTAATTGCACCTGAGCTTGTTTCAGCAAGAGAAAGACAGAAAATGAATCATTGGAGGCCAGAGAGTGTCTGACTATAGGTGCGGGGTAGTTCGCCTGCTGAGTGGCAGGGGAGCGCTTACACTTTATGACGAACGACTGCAGGTGTGAAACAGTCTGAGTGAACACAAAGCCTGCTCTCATATGTGTGAGTGTTTTTGTTAATGTGTTGTCTGACTGATGCTGGATAATGCGGCGTCAGGGTCTCAGTCTGTCTTACTCACAGCCAATGAAGGGTGATGTCTGGGCAAACATTTCCTCTGTAACCCTGCTGGCATTCCCGCTGATGTATGGCTGTGCTCGTGCATGGGGTTGTGTTGCCATTAAATCATGTCATTAATAAGATTTTAAACACATAGTGGATATAATTCCTTCTCAACATAAATAGCTTTCATCTATTAGGTCTGACTGATGATCTTGGAAGACACCTTGGAGATTACATCTCACCTCCTCACCACTAAATCACCAGCACAGGCAGAATATAAACAGTGGCTGAAATAAGAGATTCATTTATTTTCATTGTTGTTTCAGCTGTTCGGGATCTAGTAATACACCACTTCGTTTTCAGACCCACTGGTGACCTGGTTGCCTTTCTGCTGTGTATACTCCACAGTGAGCAGTATGGGAGCCAGACAACAGTATCAAACTGTTCTGGTAATTTGTAAAATGTGTTTTTGTTACAGTTGAAACAGATTCTTAAACACATTTGCACAAGACATTTCCTGATTTAATAGTTTTATATTCGTATTGGGAGCTGGAATTTCCTCCAAAGGTGTTTTTTTTTCTTCTTCTATGATCAAGCGTGGTTCAAAACAAAAGCAGCTTTTTAGAGACATGAGACACAGTGTCAGAGCCAGACACAAGTTAATGAGCTCGCTAACAGCAGTTCAAGTCAAAGTGCAAAAAAACCCTGAATACTTTAAAAAACAACTCACTGTGAGTCACTGCAGTGATCTCACAGACTGAGGTGAGTTAACAGCTGTGAAGGATGATTTTGTCTTTGAAACAAAGGCTAAGGTTGTACTTAGCACTTATTACTACAGTAGTCTGCTGTATTGTAAAAATGACTGTGCTGTTAATCATTATTTTACTATTTTCATGCTTAGAGTGGATAGCTTTGCTGCTTGGAGTTAAGGTATTTTTTAAAACAAAAAAAATTTTTTTAGCTGCTTGGAGTTAAGGTATTTTTTAAAGAGTTTGTGAAAAGTATTTCACTGTGACATGCTAAAGATAAAATCCAAACACAGGAAACTTTACTTCATATTTACAAACAAGTGTCACAAACAAGGAATTTATTTAAAAAGCTCTGTGCATATTGTGTGAAAGGCCTTGAACTGAAAAGTCAATACAGCGGGTGAGTGAGGCTCCTCTGCTCAGCACTAACAAGACATTTCACTTCTCCACTGTGTGCCCTCTGCATTGTGCAAACACCACACCACAGGTTCCTGTCAGTGACCCATGAAGTCACTTACACTGTGTAAATCTCACCTTCCCACACAGGGCTGCGTGTTCCTTTAGAACGATTGCGGTTGAATAAATGTGAGCGAGCGAGGGATCAGTCTAGCAAGAATGTGTGGATGAATAGGTACCAGTAAGTACCAGTGTTTTCATTGCACCATAGTCACTGATTTTCACCCCGTTCGCCTGAGTCCCCCGCCCTCCAGCCCGGCATGCCACAGAGCAGGTTGTCCCAGAGTGGGGTTGTCTGGGCCGTGTCAGGTGTCCACTGGAGAGCCGTAAGCTGCAGAACACACAAGCGTCAGCTGCTTCATTTACTGCAACTAATTTACCAGAAGTGTTGTGTGTGGGGCACAGGGGGTTTGGTATGTGTTGACTTTACATGTGTGTCATGGCTCACAACCACGTATATATGTGTGTCTACATCGCAGGTCCATGACTTAAAACACTGCAGCCAATTAAGTGAACAAAATTTAAATTATTATTACAAATTCTATTAATTAATATATTACTATCACAAAACAACAATAATAATAATAATAGTATAGTAATAGTATTTTTGATTTTATTTTATAATATTCAAAAATAGCTCCAGGTTATATTTTAGGGTACAGCATTCCACACTACAGTTACTAGGGTCTTATTATTTGAAATTCTATTTGTGGATTTTATATTTGGAAACTAGACATTGAGTGGAAATGAGGCAGTAATTAGAAATATCACAGCCTTAAATACCAATGTCAATGTCATTAAACCTTCTGTCTTAGAATATTGAATGTGCAGAAGATCATAACAATGGAGAAAACTAATGACTTTGAACACGACTTTGGTGACAGATATTTTATAATCTGCTGAATTAGGATTGTTTGGATTTCAGGTTTTGCTGAATAAAGTGTGCCCTCAGGCTCCACATTTTGAGAACCACTGCACTAAAGACTTTAAATCCTTAAAATGTTTCTGACATTTACTTGTGGTGTGATTTGACAATAAACATACTTTCCAACGAAGCAGTGGAAGACAGCTTAGGTAACAACTGCAGCCATGCTGCAAAACGCTCAATCATTTGTGTGTGAGTGAATTAGTCAGACCGTGGCATGAAAGTATTGCGCAACATGCTTCTCTTTGCCTACTTACTACTCTCCCAACCCCTGCCCCCGTCCTGCACTGCAGCTGCAGCATACGTGTGTGACCACCCATGGTCTATCCTGACCAAGGATTAGGGGGCTCAGACTAACTCAAACCTTTTTCTCCACCACTTAACGCAAATGGTTAAATTAGTGCAGATGGCCTATGGTCCAGTTAGGTGACGGCTCCAGTGGTGGAGGAACAAGGTGACTGTAAGTGACGGAACGGAGACAGACAGCGTGTAAGCGTGAACGAGTGCATGCACGCTTCTTTGGAGATGTTATCTGGATTTGTTTCTTTGACCAGCATGAATGTGCTCTTTTTGGCCCACACTCATGAAGGAATTTATTCTCTGTGCTCCACCGACCCCAGGGCGCACGTGTGCAGGGAAACGTGGGAAACAATTTCATTTTAGCTTTCTCTCCGAGTCTAGACCGTGCTACCCCTCATACATTATCCCCCACATTCTCTTCCACATTTTAATAGTTTCCATATGTGACACTGGGAGTGTTTCAACAGGAAGTGATGTGATGACTTGTTGTAATGATGCGTTGGAACATTTCCTGCAGGAGAGTTATATATTAGTGTCCAGATGTTGGAGGTAAAAGCTATTTGAAAAGAAAACAACACTGAGGCAAATTTGGTGACACAATTAAAAATGCCTCTGACGTACTGACATCTTGTATAAACCTCAAAGCCCAGTTGATTGCTTTCTTTCCCTGGTTGTGTTTCAGAGTTAATGATTTCACCATGAATATTGCGACACACGTATATACACTAGCCAATAACTGATGCCTCTCACTTAGCTTTGGCTCAGGAGTATGTTCTGTGTGGGCTGACGATAACTGGACAGAGCAGAACATGTGGAGAATTTCACACACAAGGACAGGAAAACACACATCTGCATTTGCTAACTAGTGGAGACCACAGCAAAAGGCCACTGGTCTCAGGCAGTGTCTGGGATTTAGTGGTGGGGCCCAGCAGCGTGAACTCTGAACCATTGACCGGCCATGACTGGAATCATGGGATAAGACAGAACCTCTTAACAAATGTAACCATAAGACTTTTTTTTTTCAAAAGGTGGACTAAATGGACTTAGGAAATTCACCTAATGTAATTCGTGCAGTTTATAATACTCACAATGGGAGCATTACTTCCCCAGAATTTGTAGTATTCACCTTCGAGGTTTAGTGGGATAACGTGTTTAACTATTGTTAGAAGGCCATTGTTAACGTACAGTATTTACAGGTAAAAAAAAAATGTCGTGGTCAAGGTTGGAGTCAAGGGCTTCAAAATAGAAGCTGCATTTTTCAAAGATGGATCTAATGAGTCAACCAGGTGACTAACATACGAAATAATGTCAATGAGCAAACATTTTTGCAAC